ACAGTACACAAGATTTACACACCCAGGAAAGCTCTAAACCGTATATGGAACATTCAATGAGGAAGTTGTCGTGTCCAGAAGAAATGCCATCTATACGTAGTCGCCAGATAAAAAAAGCTTCTCGAACTTCCTCTTCACAGGAAGGTCTTGGTTCCAGAAAACAGGGCACTGACAGCTGTGAAAGTAACACATTTAGATCGGTGACTAAAAGTCAAGTAACTCCATCTTCCCCCGCTTCATCATCTTATACAACGTACTCTACTTCCTCAGTTCGCCACACCCTAAGTTCCATATCTTCTCAGGAAGAAGTATTTCAACAGCCTGAATCAACAACCGGTGTGCAGGATAGACTGTCATCCGATCGTCAACCACGTTTTGTGTGACTCTACATAGGTCTGTTCTTCAAAGTATGGTCACCGTCACGTAACGTTCTTCAGATAAATTGCAGGAATGCATTATTTGAAAATACATAGTGGCGGATGCTAGGTTGGTTGAACCATCGTTTGAAACAAAAAGAATTTATCTTGCTTTCATAATTGATTGATTGTTTCGGAGGTATTTAGTTACTGAAACACAGTGGTAGTCTGGCCGTGTTGTGTTGCTCAATGTCACGCATATGTACATAAAAACCGTAAAATACTTTTCTAGTGTTTATTTATGTCTTAACTATGCAATAGCTTGAAAAAAAAAGAATGTTAAAAAATTTTGTATTATCATTCATCTATACGTGCTCTGCTTTCATTCGTAAAACTAGACAAGTAAACTGCAGGGATCAGTTTACAAGAGACATTGTCTTGTAGACAGTAGGGCTAGTGAATGAATCTCATGCACGTTATGTAGTTGACGTGTCTTCTGTAGAGAATAATCGTACAAAGACTTGTGTATGTCTAAGAACATAATAATCATAATATACTTGCTAATGTATAGAGTTGAAACTTCTTTTAAGGCATCTTGATATTCAGGTGGCAGAGTACCACTTTGTTTATTTCTTGAGGAAATTTTTGATTATTTTCATTCTTGTTCTAGTGTTTCCTGCCTTTTTATGTTGTGTTCAAATTCATATAATTATTTAACAAAGTAGAGTGTTCACAGTTCAGTAATTTAATTATATTAAATAGATGCACGTTACCTTGGTATCTGCATGTACTGACAATTAGTTGTTTTGATACAAGAAGATATTGTTGGGTTTCACATGTTTACTAATCCTATTGTTAAAACTGTATGCATTGTTGGTATTTCCATGTCTACCTGGTAGCTAAAAGACAGTTCCAGACATCAAGTATGATTAATATAACTAGTAGATCACATTAGAAACAAACGATGAGGTCCTCGTGTTGAAAGTCCTAATATATATATATAATGTGGGAACTGAAAGAAGTGTAATGTAATTTTTGAAATGGATCTGGCATGATATCGAAAAGCTGTATCGTTAAAAATGAATAAACACCTTTGTATTAATCTTATTTTATTTTTAAAATTCTAAAAATAAAGTGATATCTTGCACTGCAGTAAATGATTTAATGACAGAAGAAAGTATTCAGAAAAATAGAGGAGGGTTGCAAAGTTACTGCTAGTAACATAAATATATAACAAGCTAAAATATATACACGTATGCTAGTGACGTTCCTTGTGAACATTAAACCCTGTGTATGAAGAATGATGAATGTTTTTGTTAACATCACTATTACTAACAATGTCTGTCATTCAGCTGAGTTAGTAAAATTTGTATTTTGTAAGTAACCCACCTCCTACTAGTCAGACTGGACTTTCAAGAGTAATTAGGTGTAACACTGAGATGATAATTCCTGTTTACTTACAGTCCAGTCCACCATGTGTTTTCATTAACTTTCTTTGTACAGAACCTAGTAGGATTAGTAAAGCTACCACTGTTGTCAAAAGACTGTAAATCTTATGATTCGATGCTAGAGGCGAATAAATTTGTGGAAATATATGAAACCTGGATGTTTCTTACATAAAATCAAACATGGTAAAGATATTTTCAAATCACTTACTAAAATGTGTAAGAATTGGAACTTTATCGTAGCCTAATCTACTTCACTGCCTGGATTTAGTCTCATTTCTGTTCAACGATTTCTACCACGAGTTACAGGATAATGTCCTACTAGCTAATTGTTATGTTTAGTCTCATTTCTGTTGAACAATTTCTACCATGAGTTACAGGATAATGTCCTACTAGCTAATTGTTGTGTTTAGTCTCATTTCTGTTTAATGATTTCTACCATGAGTTACAGGACAATGTCCTACTAGCTAATTGTTGTGTTTAGTCTCATTTCTGTTTAACGATTTCTACCATGAGTTACAGGACAATGTCCTACTAGCTAATTGTTGTGTTTAGTCTCATTTCTGTTCAACAATTTCTACCACGAGTTACAGGATAATGTCCTACTAGCTTATTGTTGTGTTTAGTCTCATTTCTGTTCAACAGTTTCTACCACGAGTTACAGGATAATGTCCTACTAGCTAATTGTTATGTTTAGTCTCATTTCTGTTTAATGATTTCTACCATGAGTTACAGGATAATGTCCTACTAGCTAATTGTTGTGTTTAGTCTCATTTCTGTTTAACAATTTCTACCATGAGTTACAGGTGAGACTAAACACAACAATTAGCTAGTAGGACATTATTTTCTGTTTAACGATTTCTACCATGAGTTACAGGATAATGTCCTACTAGCTAATTGTTGTCGTTTAGTCTCATTTCTGTTTAACGATTTCTACCATGAGTTACAGGACAATGTCCTACTAGCTAATTGTTGTGTTTAGTCTCATTTCTGTTTAACAATTTCTACCATGAGTTACAGGATAATGTCCTACTAGCTAATTGTTGTGTTTAGTCTCATTTCTATTCAACAATTTCTACCATGAGTTACAGGATAATGTCCTACTAGCTAATTGTTGTGTTTAGTCTCATTTCTGTTTAACGATTTCTACCACGAGTTACAGGATAATGTCCTACTAGCTAATTGTTGTGTTTAGTCTTATTTCTATTTAACGATTTCTACCATGAGTTACAGGATAATGTCCTACTAGCTAATTGTTGTGTTTAGTCTTATTTCTATTTAACGATTTCTACCATGAGTTACAGGATAATGTCCTACTAG